AACCCCTGCAGGACTGACTTCCTTCCAGTTGGTCGAAGTTCTGGCCATGATATTACACCCAGGGTTTTTATATAAGTAGATAATAAAAGAGAAATCCTAATTATACACAACAGTAAGGATGAATCTCAAAAACACACTACTGAACTGAAGTCAGACACAAAAAGAATAAACAGTCCTTTATCAGATTCCATTTATATAAGTTTCAAATACAGGTCACACTATTCGATGATGTTAGAATCCTTGGAGGGTTATGGGGTGGGGGAGGGATTTCTGGGAGACTGGTCATGTTTTATTTTTTGATCTAGGTGCTAGTTCATTGTATAAAAATTAATTGTTCCATATCTTTTGGGGCACTTTCCTGTACATATATTATGCTTAAATAAAATGTTTAAAAATTGGTTCAAGACTCTGACATTCACTGATTTGTATATACTGCTTTGATGGTTGATGTTAATGGGATGCAGCTTAAAAAGAAAGTGGAGAAGAAAGCTCACATTTTTGGTCTTTGCTTATAATGTCCAATTGTTAAGAACACCATAATCTGTGTCATGTTATTTATGTTGCTCACAGATTGCCAGCCAGCTTGGTGGATGAGGCCATCTGACCAAATCGGGCAGTGTGACGGAACGGAAAGGGTAGGAAACTGGAAATGAGATCTCCTAGGGCTCCTAAGGTTACCTGTAAAACCTAATGACTCAATTAACCTCTCTGAGCCTCAGTGCCCTTGTCCATAAAATGAGGTGAGAGCTATTCCTGGCTGGGCTGTAAAGTTCAAATGAGGCCATGGCTGAATAAGTATCTGGCATGTAACAGTCTCATATATTGTAGCTTTTTGTATAATAGGATGACATTTATGCACTTAGCCTATTAAATAAAATTAGTATATACTTTCATGTAATATTAATATAATAGTAACAATTACCTTCTTTTTAGAATCAACTCTGTACCAGTTATTCTCTGTAGTCCCATTTACTCCTTAAAGTTACCCAGTGAGTATTAGTTGACACTGGCAATACTAATAATCACAGAGCTTGTAACTCCGTGGCCTAAAGATTCCTGTGTATCCTTTGTAGTGGATGTGGTGGCGTGTCACCTAGATTCCACCCTTCAAGACCGAGGCCTGCACCCGACCACTCCTGCCCAGCATCCTGGCGTGATAGCGGCTGAGGGCTCACAGCTGAACCACCTCCAGGAATTCTTAGGCAAAGGGAGCCGCCTGTCCCCAGGTGACATCCCCTCCCCAGGGACATCCTGAATCCAGTGGCTGCACAGTTGTCAGGGGGGCCTGTGCTGCTACTGCATCTCCCTCTGCCCCATCTTAGTATCCCCCAGGAAACCTGCACCCCAAATCAGAGCCTGTGTCCTGGTGCTTAACCTGCACACGCTCCTAAAAACAATGTCTTTATACTGGCAGGTATCAAGGCTCTTCATCACCAGACCCCTTTGCGTTTTCCGTCTTTCATTTTCCCCACATACCCCTGAACTCCCAGTATAGTGAGGTGCTCAGTTACCCTCCAAATTCATGACTTCCCTTGCTCTACATTCTCTGCTCCTGCCTCCTATTTCTGGTCCCCCACCAAGGACTTTGGCTCTACAGTCCTTTCTGACCTGGCTTTCACAGAGTTCTCTCTTCTGCGCCTCCCAACAGCCTGTGTACATCTCAGTCACTCTAAGGCTTATCCTGGCTTGTGAATGATCCATTTCCAGGGACGTCCCCCTCCAGACTTGGCTGTGTGGCTCTGAATAGACTAAGAATAACAGCAATCCCTAGATCTGTCAGTAGGTGGCGCTACGTTACCTAATGCTAGACGTGGACAAATTTCACCTTATGCAAATTGTTCCATAAGAAACATAATTTCAGAAATGTAGAAAGTTTTCTATAACAGAGAAACAAAACAGCCTGCCATGCAAATGTGCACAAGACATGGGGAGTGCAAGGCGAGAAGGAACTTCTCAAGGAGATATTGTTTGACTTTCATTATGCCTTTCCTAATGGAGGCTGGATTCTCCCCATTAGCTCATGTTATTTCTCTACGATGGAAATGGAGCCTCCGTTTTTAAGCAGAAGTAGGAGTCTGTACGAACACAATAAAAGAAAAACACAGTCACGTCTGCACAAAATATGTGACTTAAAATTCATGCCATTTTTCATTGTAAATTGAGTTCTGAGGCTGCTAAGACTGATTAGAAAGCACCAGAAATATATTTCCTAATCTTAATAAAAATAATAGAAGAAGGTGGGTGAGTAGTTTCAAGGTCTAACAAGTCTTTAAAAAAGAGGAAATTTGAGTATTCAGGTGGGGTGATGGCAGAGGATATCACCATCTATTTCTTTTGAAAGAGAAAAAAAATGATAGTCGCTTTCACTTAGAGCTAATGCCCAAGGAATTGCAAATGTAAAGCATCACTTATTGTTGTTTGACTTAGATTATGAAAAAATTTAATCACACGCAGAATTCAGAGAGTAGTATGACAAACACCCTTGGACTCACCATCCAGAGTTGACAGATATTTGCATTTTGTTCCATTTGCTCCAGTTTTTAACTATTGTTTGTTTATTGCTAGAAGGTCCTTATGTAACTGAAAGACTTAGCAGGGCTACAGACAGTGCATTTTGACTTACGCCAAATTCGAGTTCTATAAAATGTGGGGGTTAGGATTATGTAACTTAGCATTTGTTGTTTTATTGGTGAAATGGGAGCAAATGGAAAGAAACCTACAGAAAATACCATGATATTTGTATTACTTAAACATTTTTTCCCTAAGCATCTTCACGTGTAATTTCTCACTTTACTCCAAGGCAGCCATCAATATAAATGTGACACAACCTTTCTTTATTGAAGTCTTCATTTCCAGTCCCAGCATCTCTAATCTCAGAGTGGGCATTCCTTTTTATGTGCTATTTCTGTGACCACCCTTAAAACAAAACAAAACAAAACTGATCCTGGATTCCTTCCTTTCTTTCATGTAGCTGAGCTCCCTTCAAGGCCAGACAGTCCTGGGATGCCACCATAGACAGTCACCTGTTACTATTTGACACAATGTTTGGATTATAGTAGTTGTCCAATAAATGTTTAGAGAGTGAAACAAAAGGTAAATACCTGGACACTTTGAACAGTGTCCAGGTGATCTGTAGGGTCCACTTAGATTTGTGTATTTTTCATGTAAACATTTCCTTTTTTGCTGTTTTATTCATTGTAGCTTTAGAGTAATGGAAAGAGCATAGACTTTATAGTAAAACCAATCTAATCCCCCTCCTGGCTCTGATATTACTATGGGATTTGGAGCTATTTAACTTCATGCACCCTTATTTATCTTGTGGATAGCACAAACATTTTTATATGGGTTTGGAAATAGATATTGTAAGAGGGAGTGTGAATGGACGGTTATATAGTGGGTATGCAATGAAGCAGGAATTCAAATTCAGATTTTTCTGGTTTTACAACCTGTGTTCTTTTTATACCACCCATTTTTGTTGTTATCTTGATTTGTTCCTTTTCCTGTCACATATATACACTAGAGGCCCGGTGCACGAATTCCTGCACGGTTGGGGGGTCCAGCTGGCCCGATGGGGGCCGGGCTGTCGGGGGAGGGGGCTCGGGGAGGGGCTGCAGGATGTTGGCCGGCTGGCCACACCCCCGATTGGGGTGGGTGGAGCCGATCGGGGAGAGGGCCAGCCAGGGAGAGGGGCTGCAGGAGGTTGGCCAGCCACAGTAGGCATCATAGCGACCAGTTGTTCCAGTCATTCTGGTTGTTTCAGCGTTCCAGTCTTTGGCTTTTTATATAGACGTCTATATATATAAAAGGCTAATATGCAGAGTGTCCCCTAGGGAGTTCAATCACTCACTATGACGTGCACTGACCACCAGGGGGTGGCGTGGAATGAAGGAAGGCCACAGCTGGCAGCCAGCAGCTGGGGAAGGAAGGCCTCGACTCGGCCAGCAGCCAGAAGGCCCCGATTGGCCCTGATCACCAGCCAGGCCTAGGGACCCTACCTATGCACGAATTTCATGCACTGGGCCGCTAGTGTATATATATGACAGTGAAGGAAACAGAAACCCAAGGCCAGGGATTGTTTCTGGGTCTGACACATTAGCAGTGCCTGGGATTAGAACCCCAGCCTCGGACACAGTGTGTTTGGCACAATGCCTGAGACCTCAAAGCACTGCTGAATTTGAGACCTGCACTCACTGGAGCAGCTTTGGGCTGTGGACAGGGCTGGCCCCCTATTTGCCTCACTGCAACCAGTGCTATTGGGAATGCTGTTACCCACAGGCCAGAACCTCTAGCTCCCACAGGGAAGAACTGGAGGTATTTGGGGATTCAAAGAGAGGCTTTTGGGCCTCTGTGCTTTCCCAGAGAATCCATGTTGAACTGGGGGTCCCTATAAGGAGCCTCAGAATCCAAAGAGGACCTAGATTTTCTGAAACAGTCTGGGGCACCCTCCTGCTAGGGCATTGGAGCTTACCCAGGCCCAGGTAGGACTTCGAAATACTATGAGTTGGGTTTAGCTACTCTCAGGTTGGGGAGGTAACTGTTTCCTGGAGGATGTGTGTGTG